TTTCAATCTGATGATAAGAGACAGAAATTATCCTGCCATTAAACTGTCATTCATGTCTTCCATTTTCACAACATTTTATATATACATTGTCATATACATATACGCAATAACTGACAAAGAATGATTTAGGCCAATATTGTCAACTGTTCATAAATATATATATATATTCTGGTCGCTACCCAAATAGAGAAAATACAATGTTTCGTTAGTCAATAAACTTTTATTGCAAATAATTCAGATAGTTATGGTGTTATCTCTTAATAAATAATTTATTTCACTTCTAGCGAAACAGATCATGTACGTACAAACAGTGAAACACCAATCCATAACTACAGAATAAAAATAACTATTCATTGTGAATTGTTTTTTTAAAATGGTAATTTTCCTGCTCTCTTAGTGATGAATCATTTTAAAAATGTAATTAACTGACAGGTATGTAGATATAATTAAATGTTGTTATAGTAATAGTAACACAAATCTAGGTTTAACACAGAATAGTTATATGTGAATCATAAAACATTTTCACTTCATACTTAACAGATAGATGCTAATTTGTTAATTTCAAGGATGTTTATTCTGAAATAAACCTGTGGCTACTGGGGCCCCTCGGGAGTCCATTCTAGATCTTTCATTTATAAATGACCTGCCACTTGAAGTTTGTCACACAGATATTGATATGTATGCGGACAGCCCCACAGTTCACACATCAGCCGAAATTGTATTAGAGCTAAATTGTAAATTTACTGATAAAAACAAAAGTTGTCAAAAAGGACAAAACTTCGTTGATTACAATTATGTTGAAATTGGGAATTCACTTACCTCTGATTGAGATCTCTACGTCACAATTAAAGGGAAGCACTCAAGCAGACGTCTGAAAAGTTTAGCACGAAAATTATGCAATCGAACAGGATCAATATATTTAAACACAGATATTTGAAAATAATTTTGATGCAAAACTACATTAAATTTAGGATTGCTATGGCTTGCACCGTAACCTAATATGAAACCTAATTTGATTGAAAATGCCCTATTCAGCTTTGAACTGAATCAGGCCATATCACCCTGTTCAGCTCCAAGAAACAGTTCCGGACATGTTACATGTTGATATTTATGTTTTTTTTGACAAAATAGCCACCATGTCGACAAATTTGATCAAATCTCAAGAAAAAACACGTTGTTGCATTACCTTATAGAATATTATCTATGTAAAAATTTTCAAGTGAATCAGACCATATTTTTCAGAGGAATCAGCACAAAAAATAAAAAAAATAAAATGGCCATTTTGGTCCTAATTTTGAAAAAAATATGACGTGTACGTGTAACCAATATACATGATCATCATACAAAATTTGTTTAAAATTCCGGACACGTTATAGACTGTGATTTTAAGATATTAAACAAAATGGCCGCCATTTCGACAAATTTGATCAAATCTCAAAACAAAACAAGGTGTTGTGTTATCTTGAAGTATACTAATAGTACCTATGTACAAACTTTGAACTGAATCACGTCATATCTTATGAAGAAATCAGCACAAAAATGAGGAAAAAAAAAATGGCTGCCAGTCGGCCATCTTGGACAGAAGCTCAAAAAAAAAGTGGCGTGCACCTATAACTCAATATGCATGATCACCCTTGTTCAGCTCAGAGAAACAGTTCCAGACACGTTTAAATATACAAATTTGAGGGACAAAATGGCTGCCAGCCAGCCATATTCAATTGAATCATAATGAAAAATGGCGTGTAGGTTATCATAAATTGTCTGTATGCCAAGTTTGAATGAGATCAGTTAAAGGGTGTTAGAGAAATGGCTCCGGACAGACACACGAATGCACGAATGAACAGACACAAGGAACCGAAATTAATAGGCCCCGTTTTCGGACTTCGTCCTAATGGGCACTAAAAATAGAAAAAATTCTTGTAGATTTGGGTTTTAGTAAATTTTCAGGAAATTCCACGACAGGCTGAGTGATTGCGTGAATTTAACATGAAATGCTTGTGGAGATTAGGAATTTCTTTCTCATGATTCTAGCAACCACATTATCATTGGCATACAAATGTTGTGTCAGGCATACATTACACCATATGTTCCAACATACGCTCTGATGTTGCATTGCTTCCTCATTTATATACCATTTGGACAATAATAGTCACCAATAAGTCAAAGGACAATGAAATAAATAGATTGATGTGCAGATTTAAATTCCTAAATGGGTTATTTGTACTACCATGAACATACATAAATCATTATTGTGTTCTTGACCTATTGACTCAAAAATGCATCCAGATGTTGGCACAGGGAACATGTTTGCCAAGTCCTGAAGCTATTTTACCTTTGCAATTGTATACATAACATACATGAACTCTCACTGTGACCTTGACCACCTTGACAATGTTTTACAAATGACACAGGGAACATGTGTGCCAATTTTGATAGCACTGGCAATATTTCTTATGTACTACTATAGTAATTTTTATTATTATATAGTACAATCAAAGAAAGCTCAGAAAGAACTCCTATGTGATGAGAGTATTGGAGACACAGTAAATATAATTCAAAATTACTTGTACTTGATTGAGATAGTGATGGAAAAGCTGAAAACTAATAATGCAAATCAGAAAATTCATATGAACAGATTTGAGTGTAAAACAAATAAGGTCTGCGCAATGTATGTACCAAGTATTATGCTAATTAAGGAATTAATATAAACAGATTTTAACCCCAAACTAATCAGGTTTGTACATTGTCCTAGAGCAACTTTGTACTAAGTTTCATTGAAATGGAATAATTAGTACTTTGGATATCAGTGTGATAGCTTAAAAGTGGTTAATTATGCAAATTAGTAATTAATATGTACAGACTTTAACCCACAATTATCCAGGTCTGTCTATTGTCCTACAGCATCCATGTACAAAGTTTCATTGAAATGTGATGATTAGTACTTGAGAAATCAGTGTGAAAGCTGAAAATTTATTAATTATGCAAATTAGGTAATTAATATGCACAATTATTTACCCCAAAACTAATCAGGTCTCTGGATAGTCCTAGAGGATCTATGTACCAAGTTTCATTGAAATGCGATGATTAGCACTTAAGATATCTGTGGAAAAGCTGAAAATTAACTAATTATGCAAATTAGATGATTAATATGCACAAATATTTATCTCAAAACAATCAATCTCTGCATAGTCCTCAAGTATCTATGTACCAAGTTTCATTGAAATGTAATGCTTATTACTTGAAACATCAAAAGCTGAAAATTAATTAATTATGCAAACTAGGTAATTAATATTATAATATTACCCTAAAAACTATCTGTGCAGTTTCCTATGACATCTATGTACTACGTTTCATTGAAATGTGATGATTAGTACTTGAGATATCAGTGGAAAAACCGAAATTTGACTAATTATTATGCAAATTAAACTAATCAAAACCTAGCATTAGTTCAGAGCATCTATGTACCAAGTTTCATCAAAATCCAATGAGTGGTTGTTTAGACATCAGTGGAACAGTCATGGAACAGCTAAAAATTAGCTTATTATCATGCAAATTAGGTAATTAATATGCATGGAATTTTACCAAAACCTAATCAAATCTGCGCATTCGCCCAGAACATCTATGCACCAGTTTCATCAAAAACTGATGTATGGTTCTTGAGATATCAGTGGAACAGACATACAGACAGACACACTAACTGCAAAGACTCCCATTTTGTGCTTCACACATGGGAGTCAAAAACACACAC